AACACGTTCAATGCGGTCAAGGTCACTGGACTTCTGCCTTTTCTTCGGCTGGGCTGGAAGTCTTGTGGAGGATTGTGAGTGTTTAATCGAGAATAGCAAGAACATTTGAAAGATCTAATAGGGTAAATGGCTATATTAATACTTTGTTGCAGGATCGTAAGTTGTACTGCAAGTGCATTGAGAACCTATGTCTATGGTGCTCAATCAGAATGCGTCAGATTCACACTACTGCCCTGAAGTTGTGGTCACGAGTACAGACGAATCCAGCTTAACACTGCATGTAACTGAGTCAGTAAAGACGTCGGTGATCAGAATCATCTTAAGGGAAAAGAAGTGCTACGGTTCAGCTTGATCAAAAGTAAATCATGTACCCGAACTGAGACATAGGTGAAACTGTTTGGAAACGTACACAACGAGATCATCGGAGACCGCGGGACAAGCATAAAGGGATTCGAACGTATACCGCTGCAGCTTAGTTTGTCGACAGCTTGGGAATTGCATGCCATGGACATCTCTAAGATAGGCCTGATCATAGTCCCTATTCTTGGAAGGTATTAAAAAGATGACTGTGAAAAAAAACCGCTCGATGTCCTCGTTCCGTAAACGTTTCGGACAATGCTGTGCCCTTAGCTATCAAAAGGTGCTGCACTGTTAATTATCGGATTTTGTAGTGCCCACCGTGTGTTTTGGGTTTCAACACGAAATATCAGTTATGGCTTTAAAGTCAGCCTGTGCCATTCCGATCACTGGTACTGTATCCGACCGAACTGGAGGGTTTCGGTGTTGCTGACTTCTATCCCTGTACTCCACGTCCTGGTTTGAACTCATCATGTAGAGATAAATTGAGTTAGGTGTGGAACTCAGCATATAGTGGTTGGCGACTACCGCCATGCTTAATGCAGCCCTAGACCTGATGAATACAAGCAGGGACGAAACGCGTCGTGGCGAGCAGGAATGAGAGCGAAACGTAGAAAGCCTCCACGATGTTATGACCACAAATGTGTGTAGAACAGGAAACAAAGAATTCAACTGATAAATCTCACATGGCAATTGTTGTGCTGCATTATCTCAAAAGGTATAAATCGTAGATTTATGGTTTGCTAATATGATAGGTGATTATGTTCTGAACGTGAAAATCTGATGGCACGTATAATGAAATCCTGACAGTCAGCAATTGAAGAAGCTGATGAAGATTTATCGAGGTGACTGCGCGTGTTTTCGCGTCGGTAAATTATTACAATAATGCTCCTATCGTAGTCTGCTGTATCAAAGAGGACACTAAGCAGTGCAATAGTATTAGTTGGTAAAGCATGCTTGCAAAAGCAAAAATCTCTGTTGACTTTCATTCTTTCAGGGACAATCAACGGAATAAACTGATTAATCATAAACGGAATTCGGCGCACTTTGGAACTCATTGCCATCGAGGACGGATAAGGTGGTCAGTTCGATGGATTATAGCTAAGATGGCTTTATTGGGAACGTGTCGGAAAACTCGGACCCTGTCATCCACGGGTCACACAAAATCCTCCTCAACACGTTGTCCAATGAAATTGATGAACGGCTGCTGGCGGATACATTTTTTTGAAGTTGTTTGTAATGTTATTAATTGCAAACCTTGGAAGAGTATTCCAAGGTATTCGTGATGAACATCTTCAGTGGTCCGAACTAAAAAGATTTCGTTGCTATAAGGATAAACGAAACCGAGTCCTGTGAGACATTTGCACTACGTTGTATTTATCGTATAATAGAAGCGAAACACCGAGAAGGCCAAAAATAGTTATCGCATAAATCCTATATATGTTTATGCGGGTGACTCTGGTCTGGTGGTATGGGCTCACCTGGTTGATTTTCGTTGACTCTCAGGTGTCCATCAGTTAACTTTAGTATTCCGAATATATCGTGGCGGCCATCGGCTGGGAATGCACACACTGATGAGAGTGCGCTTGCCGTGACCTAAGCGCCAGTCATCTGACATACGAAACCTATTGTGAAGAGGAAGGTAGCAATGCACCTAGTCTGAAGATATGCTCTAGTTCGGGTAATTCTGAACATCTCATGGATCATTAACCTGGAATTTGCGAACATCAACGGCCTTTGTTAAGAGGTTAATGTTTTGCACTATCGGTTACAGAGTAACAGTGAACATATGGTAAGCATCTAGTAGACGGTTGATCTCGGCTGGTGCGCCTAAATAGGACTGGCTGTTTCGGCATAAGGTGTAGATCCTCCTACCGTGTGGTTAGTGAAACAGCCAGTAAGTAATGCCATTTTATGCGTTATTGCAACAGTGAAGATGGATAAAGTACATTTGTTTGAGCTTTCTCAATGAGGACAATCCACTTACTTAAGCGCCATAAATTTATGCTCACGCAAGCGCCGATCACGCTCCCTCAGGACGATGTTGTCGCGTTCATTTAATTAAGCAGTCTTCTTTTGTTTGATACAGACATTATGCTATCGATAACGGGGTGGGCGGCTGCATTACGTCGGTACGTCTTATAGACAGTTTGTCACCACTCGACCTCAAAAAGTCGCTTGTGTAATTGGAAAGCTAAAGGTAACTCACGCCAAAACCTAATTGAACCGACGACCTGTGGATTGCATGATAACAGTGAGCATGTCGGCCCTAGCATATGGTATTCATGGTTTACTCCGTGTCATAAGCTACAGAAAAGTTGCACGCTATTCTCGCACTCTTTATGGTTTCAAAGGACATTGATTCCACTGTGTGATTTCATGAAGCAATCGCTACTTCTTCCCTTACGGGGTCCTGACGAAATGCTTTTCCATATCCAACGCTAACATGTGACAAATTATTGTTGCAAAAGTTGTTGTTTTACATAAACACGGTACGGAGAAGTAAAGAACACTAGCACCAGGATTCAATCTCGAAAGTCAATTAGTTCAGCTAATCAAGCCTGAGGTCGCCGCAATGACAATTCCAGGATTAGTAAAGAGGAGTAGGTAGTACTGATTATTTCGAAGAGACGTATCTTGGCCAGATTAGTTCAGGCAGTTACCATGCATCCTGTAAGGAACTGAATTGTCTACCCGCCAGTCACTTATCTGCGGATGAAGATCTGCAAGAAAACCTGGTGCAGCGATACGGCCCAATAAAGAAAAGAATGTGCGGGCATTAAGCGATTTTCGTATGCTTTTCCGACTGATCCTCGTCACTGGCCCCAGGAAGTTATGCCTTTGTGTAACAATCAGTGACAGCGAGGGTGTCCTGCATCACCATAAACTGCGTTATTTGGCTCGTTGGGAGGAGTACTTTCAAATGCATTTCAATTAGCCTCTTGCTTCCGGATAACTTTCTATTCATGTGGTGCCAACTGAGTCATGCTCGGTTAGTTTAGAGGCTGCGTCGGAGGTAGGGGTGCGAAACGCGATAATACACATTAAATATCTTTTAGTCACTGATTTGGATTCTACCCCACCTGCATCATCCAAAGATGGCGGTGAGATCCTTTGCAAAGTACTGATCGATACTATTTGTAACGAAGAAAAGATCCAAGCTAACTGCAGTGAATTGATTATCATGGCAATATACACGAAAGGTAGTCGCAACGACTGTGTTAACCACAAGAATATCATCATGACGCTGGCGGTGACGATTCTTATTCGTCGCCTCACTGGGAAACAGGAATCCAGGATTAGAGAAGATAAAGCAAGTTTTCTCCCAGGGCGGTTATATAGACCACATATTCACTATGCGATATGTTAGAAAAGTGCCAAACCTACCGCGGACCGAAAGTAGCTGTGTTCCTAGAATTCAAAAGCACATTCGATTTCGTTTATCGATCCATTAAGCTCAAAATACTTGCACGGAAAAATGATCCTGTGAAATAGGTGAATAATCTACGTCCCCTGTACTCGAAGATTACAGCAAATGACTTGGAATCCTTGATAGCCCTGACTGCTGCTGTCGATGATTACGATGATGATGGGCTGCGCTTTCCCGTTACTGATAATTATGTGTGAATCAGCGAATTGTGTAATTTTGCTTTAAGAAAAATAGTCTAACACCGTTTTCACTCCAAAAAGCATATTAAGAGTGATCACGTAGATTTAAAGTTGTCGCAAGAGTCATAAACTTTATAGTCTTGAAAATCGTTGATAATAGTCACTTGGATCTGGCAGTCGCTTACGAGATTAAGCAAATCAGACCCCTATAGCCGAACTGAGGATGTTGCCTAGCTTGGCAAGGAAACATTCGCAACAACGTTGCCTAGCTCGAAGAACACAACAATCCTCTCATCGATTGCCTTGCCGAATACTGGGAGCTTATGGAGTGCTGTGCAATGTATCACATAGTTTATGCCATCGAAATTTTTTCATTGATTTACGGTGTACTGTGTCTTCCACAGTAACTAGTGGTACTTATTTGTGGGTGACTACTTATCAACCAGTTTCGTTTACGTGGAACGCATATGTCATCTACTTAAACATATAATTCTCGAAGTATTTCACATGGCTTTTCAAATAGTTGATGGATTTCAGATAGACAATTGGTCGATATTTTATGCACTTCCGAAAATTCAGTGGATACCAATACTGCCTGGGTATATTCGCGATCGAAACGGGGTTTATCTAAAGCGTATCGATGTCTGTACATTGAGTTCGATAAACGCTGGTGTTCTATTAACTTCCCCGTTACGAATTACTGATGTTCATCCATGGAAAGCTACCAAATGTTAAGGGGTGAATCCTTACTCAATTACTGTGTCCATTTCGTGACGTTTGGATGCAGTTTCCAAAGGAGTTGAGGATGAATGCTTCTACTCATTTCCTGGGCTGTTAATGGTTCACTGATAGCATTTGGGCTGTCGCTGCGGCAAGTCGTTCTGTTGAATCTGACTGTCATGCACCTGGTCAAATCCCGCATCATCATTGAATATGCCCCGTTGGAATTACTCACTGAACATCCTACAAATCCGAATCAAGATAATCCACCTTCTGGATCAACACAACTTATTTGGAAGGATGATAGCATTAAGTTGTGAAAATAGAAAGTATATCGACTTGGCACAGGACAAAACATGGAGAGAACGGAGCACGAAAACGAATGAAAGCAAACTGTTCCAGGTCACTTACAAGTAGGTCTGAGGGTTGAGTTACGGAAGATTTCTTGAATCCCATTTGACTTGCAGGGAGGTGGATGATGGGGTGAGTACACACGTAAACACATCAAAACGGGAATATCACGGAGGAGGAGAAAAGAGAATGATGGAAGCTGACTGTGGTTAAACACAAAGTTTGAATACGACAAAAAATACAACTGATGGGGTTGATGAAGATTGGGATACGCTGACGGACAGGTGCCGTAGACAAGAACAAGCTGGCTTCGAAACGTTCATTCAGGAGGAATGAAAGACAGGATGTTTGTAAATCGGCTAGTTCAGGTGTATCATGCATATGGAGAGCGTTTCATATTGGATAGGCCACCAGAACGCCCGGAGTAGGCTGAGCCATATGATGAGGATATACAAAATAATTTGGCTCCTGCTCAAAGTAATAGAATGGTACCCGTGTGGGAACCGACGAGGGGGCACAAATCGGGTCGGACCTGTTAGCAGTTGTGGCTGACACATAGCTGGCGTACGCTAGCTGAGTATCGGAACACGGCACTCCAACGTAGTGATTCATCTCCATCGTTCCGCTGAGGTCCATTGAAGGTAGCAGAATACCTGCGTGACATGGAGAAATGTCGGCGTTCGAGCTGAGGACGTCACCGTATGCAGATGTGTATGCAGATGGTAAGGTGGAAGCTTTTGAACTTTCAATGACTGTGGACTCAACTGTAGAATCACACACAGCGGGAGAAGCAACAGCGTAGTCTGGAGTGGGAAAATATGTGACCATTTGAGGCAAACAATACACTTTGTTGGTGAAGTTTGCCTGTGGACAAGTTTGAATCATGTTAGTGGATTCGGTGATCCGCTCTGTCTGATTAACTTGGTCTCTAGATTCGGCTGGTTGGTCTGCGTAATTTACGGGGGTTGCAGAGTCCACTGTAGGCGGGAATGTTTTGGGACTGTGTTCATTCTTCCTCGGAATATTCTCCTCATATGTGGCTGTCGTAGCATCGTTATCGTGACAGTCATCCTTTGTCACTTTGGGTTCAAGCCCACTATCCTCCTCTTCGACATCACTTAACGTCTGACAGATCGATATCCGGTTTGCACGACTGGCAGGCTTTTTCGACTGGGGTGCATTCTTGCTCGCCTCAACTGATCGCATATCGGATTGCTTTGTAGACAGCGAAATTTCCTCCATACTGATCCCACTATTACCTCCATTTGGTTCACAAGAGTGGTTACTGGACGCATCTACATCGCTGGAGTTGTCCGGTGCAGTAATGGCTGAGGGAAGTTGATCAGTCAGTTGACCATCATCTTGTGTTGGTGTTGCGGACGCCGTATCAGAAAGGCCACATTGTAGCTCAGCTGCCGTAGAGCAAACTGGGGCTGCACTAGGAAGCATTAGAAATTGCTTTGGAAAGTATGTTGTGCCATAGAATATCTAAAACGAAAAGAGTACAAATGTTACAGATCCTAAACTCGGTTGCTATTTCATGGCACTCGTCAGCAAGCTAATAAGGGTAATTGAATTGTTTGGTTTAAATAGCCTACTTATGAGTAGCAATGCGTTATAGCATTTTTCTTGTCTTTTATCAATCCGACATCAGAGACGGACAAGTCTCATTCAAGTGTCAAGAGACCACACGAAGCGAAAAACCTGACTAACCTTTTGCCCACATACAGCTTAAGTATGTATACTTGCGACTCCTATGAATCCTAACCTTTCCATTTAATCAGTCAAGTATTATCTGACGGTTGCTGGTTTCCATGTTGTAATCCGAATAGCTAGGAGAATTGTTGCTACTTATCTGTGGAAGTTTTATTAGGAAACAAAGATATGCATGCACTAACATCCATAGGTTGATATCAGGGAATGCCGAAACCGATTTAGTTGTATAGAATTCACGTGCCTGAGCTGGTTACATTTGCCTCTATATTGGATTTGCTCCTATGCTCCTCTCGCGCGCAGTAAATGCAATTAAAAGGGAGACCATTTCGCATAGAAGAATCCAGGTTGAACAAAAAGCATTTCCTATGCACGTGTGTGTTCCAGTCATGCGAAGCAACATAAATGTTAACTCCATCCTACGAAAAACAAGGCAATGAGTGGTAGTACAGTGTTAATAAAAGGCAATCTTATTGGGAAGAAGTCATTAACCAAGGTTTCGAGTTAGTTACCTATAGGCCAATAAAGGAATACTGAAATATGGTCATTCCGTTGGTTGTGTGCTTCAAACCTGGCACTACTTGTGAATAGCCATTCAGAATGCCCTGTAGACTACTTTATGAATGTGATGTCGAAACTTGGGCATCTGCTTACACCATCTCAACGTATGACATAAACATTTGGAAATTAGGATTAGGCGATTAGTTGCGATTAGATGGGAGCTGATTTACAGCCTGGCGTAGTTTGTGTGTGATACGAGATAGGCTGTTGACATGTAGTGCGATGCAGTTAGTTTGTTTGAGTTACGATAATTCTGTGAAGTGAAGAGCTTATGGTTCACCGATTAGAACACAAAAGCGAACCAGCTAGTTCTTATTTTAACTAACTTGACTGACTATTGCATGGCTAAAGTGGATATTCCGAGTTAAGTGCATGGCATACCAGGTGACACACTTTGAGACATCCACGCGAGCTCTGCGATGACACGAGTGAGTTTTGTCAGCCTTTTAGTTGCAGTGCTGAAACGTTCTCTCTTCGTCGTAAAAAGTGGAGAAGCTGCTTAATTTTGCCCATAAAGCGCAAACAATCCACAAAGTACTTGCATGGTACTTTCCTGCGCTTATGTTTTAACTAGATACGATAATCGGCACCCATATTTGACTGTTGGTTCCCCTAGACAATCTTCTGTTGCTGCCACCTTTTGTATGCAAAGATGTTGTTATCTCGATCAATGCTGAAAGTGCTAACCTTAGAAGTACAAAGATAAGTGAATAAAGTGCCTAATACTAGAGAATGGGCTTTCGGGCCTTGTCAGCTTGGGGCTCAGTCATGGTAAGGTACGTGCAAACGAGTGAGATCGCTTGTTTGTGCTCGTGACCTTCACTATTCGTTGCGATGTTGCTAAATGTTGCATCCATCCCATCAACAGTGTGTAGCCGAATGATGAATGGAAATACTGTACCTTAAGACTTTCAGTGTTTATTCCACATTTATAAGCCAAAATGGTGCGTGCTAGATAGCATTCCACCTGATGTTGAAGAATAGGTACGTAGACGAGTGTACGGTCAAAAATGTGCGCTAACACGATGAGTAACTCGAAGGCTGTACCGACCGACAATCTTGTTTGTTATAGTCAAAGCTAAATGCAATTTTACAGATGCTGAAGGCCTATAAATCGCTCATGCGTTGATGGCTACTATTGAATGAATGGCATTGTGGATGTCCGCACCACAGGTGTACGACTACTTGTGGCATTTTATGTGGAAACGAAAACAGAACGAATTGACCACGCCGATACCTGCTGTTATGGAACGGACCAAGAAGCATGAAGGTTGTTGACGTCTCTAAAGTCCGTGGCAGCACTAAACTACTCTGCAATTTAAGCTAAACATAAGTAGATCTGTCTTACCATAGGATTCGCGGAGGAAATTTTCACAATGCGAGGAAATGTGTCTTTATGCGATGGTTCCACTCGGATACAGCTTCAGGAGGATCGGAAAGCTCTGTTTTGCTGCCGAAATAAAACAACTAAGGCGTACGTACTATTCGGTAAACGTTGCGAATGGAGTCCAGAGGATATCTATTACGCTGTTAGATGTGGTGTGTAGGACAGCAAAGCGTACTTCCATTGCAGTATGTCATGGTACCTGGTATCTTGCACGTTGTAAGCCATCTTAAGGATCCTCGTCTAATTCGGTTCCATACTTCGCGTGCGCGTTCTGTTCCGTCCATTAGCTGAGGGTCATAGTTGGCAGTGTCACACAAGCGGACTGACTCCCCTTGTTAAGTGGGCATAATTTTACGGAATTGTTTCCTTCCGAAAGTGATTTGTGCTACACAAGTTGTTTTAACACGTTACGTGCTTCTATCCAAATGTGCCACTCTGTTGTTTTTTAACCGTTTTCACTGGTGTGACACTGTGGTCGATCAAGAATTCTCCGTGCTATCTGGTTGTCCTGGAATTACATCTATAGGATCATTTCTAACGAAGCCACTACGCAATCAGTGAGTTCAATTGCATTCCCCCATCGCCGGCACTTTCCGATGTCAGCCACCCATTACAAGTCACTTCCTAGGGCTTTGTCCTACGGATTCCAGTGTGGATCATCCGGCGTGACTGCTATCAACTCAACCCTAGATGCCATATCTCACTCGTTGGTCTCAACACAGACACCGACAGTCCAGAGGCGGGTAACAGACACATCCAGCGCCAAGATAAAAACGCCTAAAAGGACACCCGTTTGTCCATTATCTGGACCAAACACTAACGATGTGATGCCGGTTTATAAGGCTCTTTAGCGCCCACCAATCCAAGTTACCAGGCACAACACACAAACCGCCATTCGCTACGCAGCAACACAATGCGTTAACGTTGGGTGCACTGACGTTCCTGAGTCCAGATCTGACACAATAAAGGGCAAGTTGATAGCTAATCGCAACCAGTGGCATTCCATCTGCGATCCGATTGATATTTGGGTGGAGCTAACTGGGCTACGACGCGTTGCGCACCACCTTAAATCAGTGATCTACGGCGAACCCAGATTTCTTTGAGTAACCTTGAATTCAAATGAGACAGATATGTTCCTTCGCTCATTTGGTCGTTTTCGCAACCCATCGACCGGGATACGCATACTACCAGATATTCCTTGGAAAGGGCGGTCAAAGAAAAAAGAAAATTATGGTAGCCCTTCTACGAACGAAAGCAAGAAAACCGTATTTGTTCATCGTGTTCCTGAATTACTGGACTCTACTGATCACGAAGCGCAAAAACATGACCGAGAGCAGTGGTGCTACATTCGCGAAGCACTCTCCGAAACACGTTATCGTTGAAGCACTAACGAGAATTTCTTCATCTACAAACTACAAGGGCCGCGGTCCAAAAATATTAAAGTCGTGCTACACTCCGATGGAATGACAGAAGTCCTGTTGGATAGCTGGTTGAAGCATCGCTCCAGGTTGGCTACCGAGATTAGGCCAAAGATAGAACGCGCACAACCATTTGTTTTCAGTAAATAGTAAATAGTAAAAATTTGTCTCCACAATCCTGCAGAGTTGTGGACAATAAAATATTAGCGGCACATGACGATACAGGGAGACACATGAGAGAACATCTTGATTTGGGATGGTCCATGCTACCATGCAGCTTGCCTGAAATTCAAGAACCAATGACCCACGCAAAATACGATTAGCGCCCTACCGACAAACAGTCGGCTTAAGACTGAACACGCAATTTTGTGCACCCACACATTACTAACATCAAAAACACTATCATGTTTGTATACTAACGACCAAGGTCTTCTTAGTAAGTTGGCCGGTTAGAGAACGCCCTGTGTCAAAACCGCAGGATCTTATCATGTTTGCGGAGACCTGGTTAGCCCTGAGATAGCAGTTTTTGAGCTCAAATAACCTGGTATGTCACTGGTTTGGAATGGCAGAACTGGAAGAGATGGATGCGTCATTTTGTCTTACAAGGCTAACCAATGAGGTGAAGTTATTACCAGCCAGAGTCCCGTGTCCCATATCCGCTTTGTTGCCTGTGATAGTTGCGGAACAAAGACACATGACTTGTAGCTGTGACTTACAGTGCACCAAACACTACGTGTGAAATGGACTCCTAAGTAAACCATGTTCTTCAGATTGCTTTGATAAAGACATACAGTCATATTCTCATCGCAGGCGACTTTAAGGTGTACGATCGCGGCGACCGGCAGCATGTAGTTCAAAGCCTGTTTACCAGAGGTAATTTCAAGCTACCCTCTGTACAACCACCTGACCTCTCCCACCAGATTTCGAACTGCTAACAAGCCGCCGATACTTGATCTTTTGCTCACTAACGAAGAACTCCTGGTCGACGAAATAACCTAGCACACAGCTGTGTCGCAGTGACCATGCGACTCTACTGTCCAACTATATATGATATACAGAATATCCAGAGGAAGAGGATGATAAAATGCATACGGTCACTGTTGCGGGCCCGTCAAAAATCCCCGCAGAAACGCGCCAGAAACCCCGGCGGAATGGCTGTGGGAAGCGGGGTTCAATTCCGCACCACAACGTAGCAGTGATCAGCCACTCCGAGACGCGGCCCAACTGCGCACCTTTTGACACTGGCCTTTTACAAACTACCACCTCTTCATGGTATAAATTTTTCATTACTTTGTGACCCATAGAACTGGCTGTGATTCGCCCTATGTTGGTCTTAAAAGAGCCTACAGAGGACCGCCTGTCTTTCTTTCCTCTTCACCTTACTTGGGAGTAGGTCGGGTCACGTGATT